GGCTGGTTAGTCACTGTGTGATCAGCACTGACTGTGGCTGGTTAGTCACTGTGTGATCAGCACAGACAGGCTGGTTAGTCACCGTGGGGCAGCACAGACAGGCTGCTCTTCCCTGTGGGCAGCACAGACAGGCTGCTCTTCACCGTGCGTTCACACAGGATCTGTGCTGGGCATGAGCTCCACTTGTCTAGTTTCATCTTAGCTGATGGGAAGTTCTCAGTGGGAACTATTTAAAAATATTTTGTAAAAAGACATCTGAAAGGGATTTAAAAAAATCAGATTAACAGCATAATTTTTGCCTGGGGAAGAAAGACAGGTTCAGGAGAAATCCCCTCCTGTGCAAACTAGATGTGTAGTTCCACAGTGTTTGCATCATCCTGACAGAGAGAGCTCTGGCCAGTCCGTCCATTCTGAACTCCTAGACCCTGGGCAGGAGTCTGGGTAGGCCTCCCTCTTCCAGTGCTCGCTGGGGAGCGACGGCGGGCAGTCAGCGGTGGGGAGGGACTTCCAGGAAGGAGCTACTGTGCCCCTGTCAGAGCCAGCTCAGAGCTGTGCAGCTTGGCTCCGCGTGTGCCTCCTGCCCCAGGGAGAGGAAGGGCGTGCAGACTCCTGCAGCCCAGAGAGCCTGGACCCAAACTACAGACCACCTTCAGCCCCTCTGGCCGCTCCTCCTGCCTGGCCGCCTCCCCCTGCACCCCCCCCCCCAGCCCTCGGCTTCGTGCAGCTCCATTGATTAAATGCCCAGGCCCATTATGTGATGGATTTCGCATCCGTGCACGGTGCCCTGGGCGCAGGCCCGGGCGCACGGGCTCTCTAAATACAGACATCTAATGGCGGGAGTGTGACCCGGGTGGAGGGAGGCAGGAGAGGGAACTTCTGCTTCATTAGCCAGGGCCGGAGGGCCGAGCGGGAGGGAGGCGCACGCAGGGCCGCGGCCTGAGCCGGCTCTGGACGGTCAGGCCCGGCTGCCGGGCTGCTGCCCCGCTGGGCACAGGCCGGGACGGCTGCCTGGGGGAGGAGTCCTGAGACGCACGCTTCAGAGACGGAGGGACGCTTCTGGACCTCTCTCACATCTGCCTGGAGCCAGCCCAGAGGAAGGGGTTGACGGACTCTGCAGAAGGCTGGAGAGTGCAGTGCAGGGGACAGCTCCTTCCTCACCCTGGGCCCTGGGTGGAGCAGGGGGACGGACACTGCCAACTACGCCACTAACCAGCTCAGGAAAGGGAAGGAACTGCCCGAGACCCACCCCGGCTGGCGAAGAACGCCTGCCCCTTGCCAGTGCTGCTCAGGAAGGATTCCTAGACCCTGATTCGTGCAGTTGCTGATTCCATACAGCACGCCACCTGGCTCCCGGCCGGTGGGCGCACGGTGCGGTGTCCAGTTCCTTCCTGTACCTGCCGGCCTGCCCTGGGGCGGGGCAGGAGCTGTGTGGAGAAACAGGGACTGACAGAGGGCATGCTCCAAATGGCAGTGACCGCACTGCAGGGTGAGCTGCCCAGGGCAGAGGGCACGATCTGGCCGGGCAGGTCTCCCGCCTGCTCCTGCAGCCCAGGGGCCCACCATCAAACTGGGAGCCAAAATGCACAGGTAAAGCTCCTGGGAGACAGACCAGACAGAAACCCTCCGTATTCCCCAGCCCAGGAGCTGGAAGGTGGGCAGGAATCGCTGAGCGTCTCCCTGTGGGGCTGGAAGGTGGGCAGGAATCGCTGAGCGTCTCCCTATGGGGCTGGAAGGTGGGCAGGAATCGCTGAGCGTCTCCCTGTCCTGTGGAGGTGGAAGGTGGACAGGAATCGCTGAGCGTCTCCCTGTCCTGTGGGGCTGGAAGGTGGGCAGGAATCGCAGAGCGTCTCCCTGTCCTGTGGGGCTGGAAGGTGGGCAGGAATCGCTGAGCGTCTCCCTGTGGGGCTGAAGGTGGGCAGGAATCGCAGAGCGTCTCCCTGGGGCTGGAAGGTGGGCAGGAATCGCTGAGCGTCTCCCTGCCCTGGGGGTCAGGAGGGATCCCGTGGGTGAGTTCTCAGGCTGAAGGAGGGAAGGCAGCATGCCAAAAGGCACACTTGGTAGTTCTTTTTTTTTTTCACACTCGGTAGTTCTTTAGAACGAGAGAAAGTTGCTCTTCAGACACAGCTAGCATTTCAGCATAGCTGGACCATTTCATCCTCCTGTGCAGGTGAGGATATCCTGGTTTTCATGCCATTTCCACAATGCTGCTTCCTGAGAGATGTGGAGATCATGTAGTGTGTGTGTGTGTGTGTGTGTGTGCGCGCGTATGCACGTGCGTGTGCACGTGTCTGTTGGCACACCTAGGCACACATACAAGTATGTGCCCTGTGTGGTGTGCATACTGGTTGCAGACACCTGTGTGCTGAGCCACGTAGGGCACTCCAGTCTTTCTGGGACGTGGTAAGGCCCACAGGGGGCCTGGCCAGCTGTCCTCCCCGGCCACGTCCTCCCGCGAGCTCCCCCCAGCACCGCAGGAGCTGGGAGCGCTCGGCAGCCTGGTGAGAGTCAGCGCCGTCGCCAGGGAGGACAGCGTCCTCTCCTGCGCTGAGCGCCAAAGTCGACGCACAGGAAGATCCAAGGCCGGCCGCAACCCCGCCGTCCCGACCGCCACATCACCAGCCCGGCTGCGAGGCCACCAGTGGGACGCTGCCCATGAACGGCACTTCCTGCAAACTCGGGTGGGAAATAAGGTCACAAAGGAAGCTGCACAGAGACCGGGAAGTGTGGGGCTGGGGGCCGGACGCTGTGGGGCGGCCAGAGCCGTCGCGGGGCGGCCAGAGCCGTCGCGGGGCGGCCAGAGCCGTCCCCTGCACTGGGGACGGGCGGGGCAGCGCCGGGCGGACGGCTCCACCTCCCAGCTGACCGGGGCTCTGCCCAGCGCAGTGTCCTTCCAGCTGACCGGGGCTCTGCCCAGCGCAGTGTCCTTCCAGCTGACCGGGGCTCTGCCCA